AGACATCTTTGGACGGAATAAAACTACTGAGATAATTCTCCCAGACGTGATAAAAGACTGTAGATACTTTTATGGAGAGTATTATGTTTTTGTAAGCTGTTTGGGACTATGCATAAATACAACCTGCCCACTTAAAAGATCAATTAGATGGGACTCGTGCAGAGGACAATTCGATATTGACAAAATATTCACCCAAGACAAAGGGGGTAAACTTACTTTCCTGATCAAAGATTTCAAAACAGGAAAACTCAGCAATGATTTGTACCTTTGTAAAAACAGCAAATGTATCACTTACGACAAAGTTTGCAACCTAGCTGATGATTGTGGAGATAGTTCAGATGAGTCAGAATGCACTAACCATTTCAAGTGCCAAAAATCTGGCGTGTACCTTCCAATCACCCAGAAATGTGATAAAACAGTTCACTGCTCCGACATTTCAGACGAATGCAATGAAAGTTGTGGCCAAGAAATTGTCAGCAGCATTTTCCTTAAGTTTGTTGCTTGGGCCATTGGCGTGTCAGCTCTCATTTTAAATTTCTTGTCAATAGTCATGAACATTTCAAGTATCCGAACTACCAAATCAGAACCTGCACTTCTTAACAAGAGCTTGGTTATTCTTATTAGCATGGGCGACTTCTTGATCGGAATCTACCTTACCATGATTTCGATTTACAATTCTTACCACAATATATCGTACTGCTCGATTCAGCTAAACTGGCTTTCTAGTAACACTTGCGTCGCTCTAGGCATCTTAAGCACTACCGGCTCCCAAGTATCCCTACTATCCATGACTAGTCTGGGCTTACTGAGAGTTATCGGTACACAAGACGATTTCGCGATTCCTAAGGAAATCACACAAAAAAGTTGGATGAAAGTGGTTGCAATAATTTCTTCTATTTTATTGGTTTCATCAGTAATTTCTTGGCTGCCTTTAGTTGAACAACTCGAAGATTTCTTTGTGAATGGTGTCAAATATGAAGACTCAAACTCATTGTTTATTGGCTGTCCGGATAAATATGTACACCGAGAAATACTACAAAAGTATTATGGCAGGATAGCATCCGAGGACCACACTTGGGCTCAAATAAAAGTTCTTGTAGACGCCATGTTCTCTAATGACTATGGAGGGATTTCTCGTTACAAACTTACATTCTATGGAAACGCACCTGTCTGTTTATTTAAGTATTATGTAAAAATTAATGATCCTCAGCTGGGTTTTGTTTTCGCGATCATTTGCCTTAATTTTGCTTGTTTTGTGACTATAGCAGTTTCTTATGGTGCAATAGTTGAAATCTGCAAGCGGACTGAAAGTGAAAGGCTTTAGTAAAAAAATCGCAGGATTGGACAAACCGACGAGAAAAAGAAACGCCAAACTACAAAGAGTTACTCAATGGATTATATTCACGGATTTTGCATGCTGGGTGCCGTTCATTATTACTTGCTGCCTTCACTACGCCGACATTTTAGATGCAACACCGTGGTATACCCTATTTTCAATTCTTGTTCTACCAATAAATTCGGTGATAAACCCTCTTTTGCACGACATCAGTCTAAGAACATCACTTCATTCCAACTTAAACAAATTCAAAGATAACACCTTCGCCCTTTTCCCTTTAACAAGAGCTAAGAACAGAATGTGTACTATTCTTGATTGGACTATGGGACTTGTGGGCCATTCCAGTTCTAGTCAGGAACAGGAGCAGAAGCAGGACCAGGACCAGGACCAGGACCAGGACCAGGACCAGGACCAGGAGCAAGACCAGGACCAGGACCAGGAGCAAGACCTGGACCAGGACCAGGACCAGGACCAGGACCAGGACCAGGACCAGGACCAGGACCAGGACCAGGACCAGGACCAGGACCTGGACCAGGACCAGGACCAGGACCAGGACCAGGACCAGGACCAGGACCAGGACCAGGACCAGGACCAGGACCAGGACCAGGACCAGGACCAGGACCAGGACCAGGACCAGGACCAGGACCAGGACCAGGACCAGGACCAGGACCAGGACCAGGACCAGGACCAGGACCAGGACCAGGACCAGGACCAGGACCAGGACCAGGACCAGGACCAGGACCAGGACCAGGACCAGGACCAGGACCAGGACCAGGACCAGGACCAGGATCAGGACCAGGACCAGGACCAGGACCAGGACCAGGACCAGGAGCAATAGCTTGTTTATTATTAACATTTATATATTTGGCTGACCCAAATACAGAAACCGATTTGACAAATAATTGTGCGTTCAGTTCACTATGTTATGTAAACGTTTGATGTTATTTGAGATTAATCGTCATTTTTCATGTTTAAGACATGTAGCTTTTCAAATGGCAGACTGTTACAACTCATGCGAGGAATCTGTTGCACAAATTTTTAAATTCGATTGTAGGATGCCACGCCCTTCCAACATTTAATTGCTCATACCCATTCTGGGTAACATGCACTACCAGCTAGAAACTCAATTTTTACACGTTGCAAATGCAATGTCAATAAATCATAAAATATGGATTAGGATTTTTTATCTCACACTTTATTTTACTTCGGACATTCCAATAGCCACAATGACAATGTTACACAAGTGTAACCAGCCAATTACAGGAAGCCGAAGGATTCTATTATACATTAGGCCAGTGACGGTTAAGGTAGTGTGTATCATACTTTCTTCGCCCGAGACTTTTCTGCAATGGGCAGCTCCTCATTTAACCCTCAAACCCGATTTCTCGGGTATTCGGCTGAGTGGACCGGGGGCTACAATTACATAGATCACTTGAACGCCGCCGCCGCGCCGGGTGATTTTGCCACGCCGAACGCCGCCGATACACCCCGGCGTACATCGGCGTACGGCGTGCATTTTCTGACTTCAAAATAATTCTGTCTTCATTTGAAGATATCAGTGTTACTGATAGCGATTAGCGGCTAGGGGCAACACACACATGATACACACCTTTAGCTAACTTAACAATATTGATTATACCGTATATGGAATAATCTGAACTGCAGTTACTAGCGTCTAGCAGCTAGCTCTCATCTGACGCCCACGTGTGACTCGAGTCTATGTACCGTCAATTGTGCTAATCTAAACCGACCTACCTGGATTATACCAGACCTCTTCTTTTCCTCAATAATTAAACCGAGTTGTGCAAGAAATGTGATTTATCGTAGTTCATAATTCATATTGCATTTGGTGGGTGATGTAAGTACATATATCGAGCTGTATTCAATCACATTATAGTAGAGGCTCTTACGGGCATTGTCTGCTCGATACGTTAGGGACCCCAGATACACCTTACTAGACGTATTTTTGACCGTAGAATCGATTGAAAGTGGTTTCAAGATGATTGGACTGATTGTTCTGGGGTAAAATCGCAAAAAACCGATTTTTGGGCCAAAAATAGGCCAAAAAACCATGTTTTTTGATATTTTGAGCAAGTTAATTTTGTTGGCATGTCGGCAAAACTTGCATAAAGATAGCTAAAAGACAGCCGCACAAGATTGTATAAAAATAAAACAAATCCCTCTATTTGTTCTGAGGTAAAAATCCAAAAAAGTGGTAAAAATTTTGACTTTTTTGCTTTAAGTTTGAATAATTTTTTGCAGTTGTATTAAATCAACCCAAAAATAGTCACATCGTGTTTGCCTAAATTTTTCCTTTCCGAGAAGTACCCACTTTATATACTTAATCGAAGTTTGAATATTGTCACTCCGCAAGCGTTTTTGCCAAATTTTCGACGCGCACTACGCGCAAAAGCATTTAGTTGTTATCAATTGGCACCCGCGCGTTCATCATAAATTTCAAACAGCTATAACTCAGCGAGATTATGTCCGTTCTAGCTCATATTTTCACACTAAATAGAAAATAATGTGATCTTATTGCTGACAAAATATGGATATAATTACTTTATTTGCCTTAGAGTAATAGACTGTCAAAGTTTAAAACGCGCATTGGTATAGCACGTGACTAATAAGGCCAAATTTATACTTCTTAACATATTATCGATCCTTAGACATCATACTATTGTGTCCAATTAGCGGTTAGGTCTCTAAACTCGTAGCAGAAAACACGTCTTTTTGCCCGTAAGAGCCTCTACTATTACGACACAATACCTGTATATTATATAATATGGTGATCGTGGGTCATTATAGCCCATACGTTATTGAGCAAATTTTTGGGCTTATTTCTCCGTTTTAATTTCCTGATTCTGATAATTCTTTCTGATGTGACTTACTATCATCAATCATTCGAATATATTATATATATATTAAATTAAGTAATGATCATGCTCATTTTTTTTCGAACGAATGATTGGATCGAGCCAAATTGTTGTGCACCTCCAACAATAAAATTTTGTGATTTTTGCGACTGATCCCTCTGGTGATTCCTCGAATGAGTAGGAATTGTACGCCATTTGTAAAGTTTAAAGTTTAAAATGGTTATGTTATTAGCCCAAACATTTTCACGCTGACTTATTGCCCACGATGTATATTTATTTAGTTCACGACAAGTTCTTATCCCAAGATTATTAACAATTTTAGAGTACATTTAAAAAATCATTTTAAACACTTAGTTGGGATACTTTAGATTGAAGATAAACCTGCTGGTGAGTGTGAATATTTCACCAGCACTATGGTAACTGATAACATACACACTATAAGTACTAGCAGGAACCCGTATAACCCTAAAATGGTGTTAAGACTCAAGAGACTAAAATAAGTATTACCTATTTAATTCGCGTTTTTGACACCACTTGGGGTACCAAATTTTGGGCTCTAAAACTCCTATTTCTTGGCCTATTTTTTATTTTTTTCATACTGATTTGGAGGCCGTTAAAGCATTTCACCCAGTCAAAAAAGTTTCAGTTGTATATATTTTATAGATTTTGCGGAAATTCGCGTTAAAGTTGATGCCGTGGTGGGTGTCAGTAAAATGGCACGGATAAATATATATATATCGTCTCGCTTTATATATATATATATATATATAGTAAAATGATAAACACACTGTCAACAGTGCTGCCCCATTTTAGCACAAATTTAAATAACGGAGTTTACACATTGCTAAAATTGTTGTAGCACCTATTCGAGTTGTCTTAATTTGAAGCAAATAGAACAAGAAATCAAACCTCAAAAATTAAACAGTCAAAAGTCATTATCAGCATAATACGAGCGTTCTACTACTTTTTTTTTCAATTGCGACCCTCCATGGTAATTAAAATGTATATCATAACTTATACTATGCAACCATGATCTCTGCCAGATCAAATTTATATGGATGATCATATCTTGATTTCGGTAATGAAACACCTTGTCCGTCTGATAAACCCTCAACAACGATTTTCTAGCAAAATACCATTACCAAGAGCTTACCAATAAATAGCCGCAATCGTCGTTGTAATATAGCTGATTTGAATCTGATCACATGATCAAGTCTCCGCTAAGAAGGTCGCCTGGGCGGTAAATTTCGGGGTGGTAAGGGAGCTGGAGCCACATTTTGGGGGATTCTCAGTGGAAAAGGTGGGACAAAGTTTTGTTGCACATCTACTCTGAGCGTTGGAGGTGCAGCATAGATATCATCATCCTCGATTGTACAGGACGCCAATTCGTCGTGATCAATGTAAAGGTTTTCCTCATCACTGAACACTTCATCTTTTAGTGGGTTGTGGTGAAGAGGCATCGTGGATGCAGATTCTCCTCTATCTACTGACACGCAATGAGAACCCATCGGAGGGAGATAGTGTTTATCTGATTCAAAAAAAGAAGGAGGTCTGCTCGCTGGCAGAGCAGGAGCTTCCAGAGGAGCACTACTGGACATCTTCAATGAGAACCCATCCATGAATGTATCGTCATCATCTACAGCTTGTGGTGGAAACATTATTGGTTCACCTCCCAAAGACATTTGAACTGAGAGTGCGGAGGATCCACCTACATCACCTGCTTCCATGTAAGTGTCATCCTCTCCCTCTTCAGTGATGATAGGGTTTACTGGTTTTCTGGTCTCAAGATCAGGGATGATGTTGTGGGTTGTGCTGGCTTTTCTGTCGAGCGAGCCTCTCATTGGTTCATGTAGTGACATCACCTTCATGGCGGAGGCTGTTTCCTGACATAAATGTGATATTAATATACAGATTAATAAAGAGTATAAGGTTAATGGGATAATGTCAGGTATTTTCCAGGCATTCGGAACGATCCTTGACGATTGACGGTATCCACTTTTCTCTTATATTATATACATGAGATTTTAGAGACTTAAAGCGAATCTGATTTCTTACCATCTCATATTGAGATATCGTTAAACCGGGATCGAATTCTCCGTATATGTCATCGTCAGGTTCTGCTATTTGTGGTACTAGTCTCAGAGTCAGTGATCTTTGGATACCGGGTTGGTAAACATCATCCGAACCAGAGTCATAATCTGAGTTAGATGACGATGTGTTGCATTCGTTTTCTTGTTCGTCTGAATTTTTGTAGCCAAGGTATTCTTTCGTTTGTACATTCACATCACTGAAACATGAATGTCAGCGAGGCAATAACAACCATGCATCTCACAATCGTCATAATAATCCGACTATAAAACTCAAAACCTTTTCAGGATAATGCACTTACGTCACTGATGGTTTGCAGTGGTTATCTAAGGAAACCATCCACTTTTTCCGTTCATACTCAGACTCAGCCGCTAAAAACCAAGCTTTTGCGGAGAGGTCGTCACTTTTCAAACAGAAAAAGTATCGGGGATCTTTGTTTGTGATGTCTGGAACACCTGCTTGCAGCTCACATCTGGATTTGGGTTTGAATCAGCCATTATTTAATTACCAGTATCTAAATTACAAATTGGTGCTTAGTTGATGTATCTGCTTAACCAAAAACAGTTTAACTTTTATGAAAGCGGCAATTTGAATCTGAGAATTTTTGAAATTGTTTGCAAATTCACCTGAATCTTTTTTAAAAATTTTTCTTTTCACCTGAATCTTTATGAATATGCTTTACCGTGTTTTCAAACAGTTTTATGAAAGTAGCAACGTGAATTCATTTAAAAAGTTCACCTCATAAAGTCGAGACATATGTCACCAATTGGGGAGGTCGCTTTGTCTTGCTCGTTCTTATAGATCCTCAGACCACCCTCCGTGCTCAGTCGAAAGTGGCGCTTAGTTTTGTAATCTGGTAATGTTAATCATGTTAATTAACCAGCACTTGTCACGATGGATGTTATAAATTTTAAGAAAGCTAATGATTATTTATGATGGCAAAGTACAATTTGGACTAATATAATAATGTTGATATAAAAGGTTGTGTGAGGTTGATATGAGGAATGAGGAAAGATAATTTATCTGAAATGTGCTGACAAAATATAGAGAACTTATTTTCTCACCATTTCCTTCCCTTTTATAGAGATATCCAACTTTGAACGATTGTGGCTTCAAGTGGTTAGGATCTGAAAATGAATGGAATAATATTTTTCGAAATCGAACGGTTTATTGCCGATCCAATAATAAATTTAGAAATTGTTTTAAAAAAACTGTAAATTTTCATCGTTGCAGTCTACACTCTACAGGCCATAATTTTTCAATATGGGATAAATCGCTGATAGGGGAATTAGTATGACAGGATGAATTTAGATATTTAGCGAGGAGCAAATCAGTGCAGATTTGAACATTCGAGAAAGTATTTTATTCTGTAAACAAAGACAGTTTCCAAAAAATAATCAGGTTGATTATTTGTCTAATTGGATAAAGAACCATCAAATAACTTAAGTTTTGAGCCTAACTTGATGTTTCAAGAATATTCAAATAGTAAAACACAATTAGAATTCATTAATTAAATGGCAAATAAACTTAGAAACAAATTCAATGCTGCTGAACTGCCTTTTCCTTACAGATGGCTGATCCTTGAAACATAACTTCTGAATACAACACTGCAATCTCTTGACCAATCAACGAAAATAGTTAAACCACCGTGTTAAATTTGATTGAGCCCCACATGTTGATAAATTGAAAGTTTACACACCCTATCGCACGAACCTATATTAATAATTAACGGTTCCATTCCATATTCATTTCCCTCCGTCCCCATCATGGCATTGGCTGTTCTTGTCAAAGATTTTGTTGTCCCAAGTACATTCACATCACTGAAACATGGATGTCAGCGAGGCATTAACAACCATGCATCTCACAATCGTCATAATAATCCGACTATAAAACTCAAAACCTTTTCAGGATAATGCACTTACGTCACTGATGATTTGCAGTGGTTATCAATGTGCCAGCCTAGGGAAACCATCCACTTTTTCCGTTCATACTCCGACTCAGCCGCTAAAAACCAAGCTTTTGCGGAGAGGTCGTCACTTTTCAAACAGAAAAAGTATCGGGGGTCTTTGTTTGTGATGTCTGGAACACCTGCTTGCAGCTCACATCTGGATTTGGGTTTTATTTTTAATCAGCCATAATTTAATCAGCCAATGAATCTGCTTAACCAAAAACAGTTTAACTTTTATGAAAGCAGCAATTTGAATCTGAGAATTTTTGAAATTGTTTGCAAATTCACCTGAATCTTTTTTTTTTATTTTTCTTTTCACCTGAATCTTTATGAATACCTATGCTTTACCGTGTTTTCAAACAGTTTTATGAAAGTAGCAACGTGAATTCATTTAAAAAGTTCACCTCATAAAGTCGAGACATATGTCACCAATTGGGGAGGTCGCTTTGTCTTGCTCGTTCTTATAGATCCTCAGACCACCCTTCGTGCTCAGTCGAAAGTGGCGCTTAGTTTTGTAATCTGGTAATGTTAATCATGTTAATTAACCAGCACTTGTCACGATGGATGTTATAAATTTTAAGAAAGCTAATGATTATTTATGATGGCAAAGTACAATTTGGACTAATAATGTTAATATAAAAGGTTGTGTGAGGTTGAGGAATGAGGAAAGATAATTTATCTGAAATGTGCTGACAAAATAGTAGAGAACTTATTTGTAGGTTTACAACCTACCAGGACGCGCGCCGAGTTGGACTCGTCGACGGTCCCAATATATGGAACAGATATTTTACGAGTATCACCCGTTAAAGAACTTATTTACTCACCATTTCCTTCCCTTTTGTAGAGATATCCAACTTTGAACGATTGTGGCTTCAAGTGGTTAGGATCTGAAAATGAATGGAATAATATTTTTCGAAATCGAACGGTTTATTGCCGATCCAATAATAAATTTAGAAATTGTTTTAAAAAAACTGTAAATTTTCATCGTTGCAGTCTACACTCTACAGGCCATAATTTTTCAATATGGGATAAATCGCTGATAGGGGAATTAGTATGACAGGATGAATTTAGATATTTAGCGAGGAGAAAATCAGTGCAGATTTGAACATCCGAGAAAGTATTTTATTCTGTAAACAAAGACAGTTTCCAAAAAATAATCAGGTTGATTATTTCTCTAATTGGATAAAGAACCATCAAATAACTTAAGTTTTAAGCCTAACTTGATGTTTCAAGAATATTCAAATAGTAAAACACAGTTAGAATTCACTAATTAAAAGGCAAATAAATTTAGAAACGGATTCAATGCTGCTGAACTGCCTTTTCCTTACAGATGGCTGATCCTTGAAACATAACTTCTGAATACAACACTGCAATCTCTTGACCAATCAAGGAAAATAGTTAAACCACCGTGTTAAATTTGATTGTTGATAAATTGAAAGTTTACACACCCTATCGCACGAACCTATATTAATAATTAACGGTTCCATTCCATATTCATTTCCCTCCGTCCCCATCATGACATTGGCTGTTCTTGTCAAAGATTTTGTTGTCCCAAGTTGAGATCTTCGTTTCGCTACCTTTTTCCGCTTATCCTTGCTGTCCAGTTGCTTGTTCGAATTATCTCTAAATCTAATAGTTTCACCTGATTTGTGTTCAAAGCGGAGCGAGGATGGCGGAGAATTTTGAGAAACAGGTGGACGTTCTGGCTCATATAAGTTGGTGGGGCTTTCGTCCGTCGCTGGGCGAACAATAGTTTGTCCTTAATTGTTATTGAAACGAAGCTTTTTTGTAGGCGATAGATTTCCTCCTTCATTTGACGAACTGTCTTTTTTAATCTTTTTCTTGCGCTTATTACCAAACAACTCCATGTGCAATCAACGAGTTTGTGTGGGGTAAATTCTCTAGATCATGCATCTAACAGCACTTGTTTACACTTTACTGTCAAATTTAAACATTAGGACCAATTTTATGAAAAAATTTAGTGGCTTATATAATAAATTCAAATAAAAATGAGAAACTCAATTTACTTCCCCTAACAGTTACATCTGTTACAAAGCAAGTTTTCGGCCATACAGACAATGTTACCTTGGTGACGGTTAGATATCGTTCACAATTTGCTAAAGCCAAATTGTAGCTGTTTAACTATAAAGACAATAGGTAGCAAGCAGTCGCATGTATACCATTCAAAACAGCGAGGACCTAAAATTGGTATATTTTTTTGTGATTTGGTGATCAAATAACATTTTCTTACCCATCTTTGTCTTAAACTCTTGTATTAAAAAGGGACAAAAGGATTTCGCGGCGATTTTGGCCAAAAATCGCGATACCGCGAATTAAATTTCGCGGTATATTAAACTATACATAAAATTTGTCGCAAATAATGGGAAATCGCGATTCCGTACATGCCGCGATTTCCTTTTGTCCCTAGTAACTAGCAACAAACATAAATACATATTGTTAGCACTGTATCAGTACAGTTTACCAAGCATTCTCCTTCCTATTGAGAGTTGGCAGAGAGACACTGGCAGCGGTCCGCTCTACCCATGATTATGGGTTTTGGTAAAATATCATCTCTTTTTGATTATAATGTCAGGGTACTTTATAAATCACTTCGAGATGGCCAGGCCTACTCTCATGCTGTCTAAATAACTGTACTTTATAAAGTCGAAATATAAACTGATATCTTCATTAATAAGGAGGAAGTTTCAACGATTTCGAAATTTTTCCTTTAAAAACATTTCCTTGTGTTTAGGTGAGCATATCGGTCGATCACTGACTAAATATGCCACTTAATACTCATTCAAGTTGGCATTAAATTCATATATAATGACATTAAACTGTCGTGGCAAAGCAGAATTTGTTGGAAATCACGAATGAGCAAAATTCTGAGCACTATAAAATTATGACTGTATAGAGTAATATGATATAACAATTAACGGATAAATTGTTTGTGTCAATCATGACATTCAAAGAATCAATAGCGTTCAATTTTGTTTTTCTCTGATCGATGATGTTTTTCTGAATTATTATTCAAATGGAATTCACAAATTTAATTATCAGTTATATGAGAGTTATGTCACAAATTTGTTATAATTTAAAAAAAGGTTGTCTAATTTTCAATTAGTCGATCGGAGAAAAGTATTAATTAAACTTAAAGCAGAAGTCACTGTATATCACGATCCTCTTGATAAGGTGTTATAGTTTTATAGATTCACAAGCTAAACGAAATTAAACCAATTTATATAACATACTATACAACAATTAACTGTACTGTACTGGAAAATGAAATAAATATAATTGCATCGCTTAATAATTATATTCCTCGCAAAAAGATTACCTTGACATAAGCTCCTCTTATTTTCTTATGTTAGTACACGTTCAACGATAAGAGCACAGCTCAAATACTGTTTTAAATTCTAACCAACTTTATAACCTGTAATTAAGGTTTCTGACTAATTTATCACTTTAAATAGTAAATACTAAGCGATATTCTTCTAATTAACTTATTAAAGACTCATTTATTAAATGACATACTACATAGTCAGCCAAACAATTTAATAAACCGAGAACATAAAGTGTATGAAGCGAAATGAATAGTTCATGCATTCATGCAATCTAGGAAAAAAACATTGACACGATAATTGTAGCCCAGATGGAATTGCCGATTTAAATTCGAAACATATAAGAATGCAAACAGCTCAGCTACAGCAATTATTAAAATTCAAGCCAATTCTAGACGTTTTAAAAGTTTTCAATAAGATGACAAAATATAACAGCGAAGTTCAAGAAAAATCAATAACGAAAATAAGAGACACGCAGGTTTAAGTCGTAAATTTCAATCAATTCAGAGCGCTACTGGTAGGGTGGTAACTCTAAACACCTTTATCTGCTTCCCCATTTAATTAAACTGGGTGTAATATCCCATCATTATTTAATCATCTCTGAAATGCGAAAGCATCTTGTTTTGGAATTTGTAATCACTGATCTAAAGATCTAACAGTCACGAGAGTCCTAGACACGTAGCTTACAGTGTTTGATGATATTATTACATTATAATCTATCACATATGATAGCCAAAGCTAAAGAAGCATTCATTTTTATTTTTCGTTCACAAGATTACACACTTTCAAAGTGTGTCATTTTATGAACAAGAAATTTAAATTAATGATTTTTTGGCAATGCTTCTTTGCATGAATGACAGTTTGATTCATGCAACAACAAAAAATCCACATGCACAGTATCACACAATTTTGGCAAGGCCTAAAAGACACAGTCAGATAGTTGTCAGCTCGCTGACTGTAAGGGAGAAGGTATATCCGTATTTCGCTGCTACTGATGCAGTCCTTGATCTGGCAATCAAGGCTTCTCTGTTTTTCGTCTAACTATGTACCGTTGGGCTTGTGGAACCCGTAGGGGGGACATACATAGGTTAGAATGGTTTTGTGCACCAAGAGGAGTGAGGGAATGAGGGTTGAATAGAGAGAGCTAGAGAGTTGTTAGGGTGGTTAGGATCAGTAGGTGGAGTGTTTGGTTGGAGCGTTCTGTTTTTGCTGTATAGCATTTTAGTCACTCCGCAGTTTATTAACTGTGTCTCAACTCCCTGTGCTATTTTATGCAAAATTGTTCAGTTCCCCTGGACAAGTATTTGTATTTGGAACTACAGTGCTTCTTGCAGGATTGGTACCTGCGATACGATACGTTTGTCGCTCAGCACCTTCACTCGCCTTCACATTCACAGCATTCACATCAACTATTAATATTACAATTGATAATTAAACAAAATATACAATATACATCGCTATTTATATTGGTAATTCAGCGAGAAGAATCCGTAAAACTTTCATTACTATTATGGTTCTCAAAAAAGGTGGATTATCGATAAAAAAAAGGCATGAGCCCTGAGGCTATTAAATCAATCATAAGTAAGCAATTAGGTATCTTATTGTTAGGAACGATTCAAGAATTTACTAGACTTCAAAATTAGGCCTTACCCTTAAACACATCTTTATAATAACTACCTATCAAATATGCAATGCAAATGACAGTGAATAACACTTAGTAATTATGATCTTTACACTCGATCAGATTTTATGACATACCTGAGGTTTCAGGATCTTCAAATTCAGATATGTGCTTCATGACTGGTTCAAGGAACCATTTGAAAAGAACCACAGCAAACACAGTGCCCAATAAACCTCCCGCCAATACATCCCACCAGTGATGATGGTAGTCTGAAATTCAGATTAATAAGTTAACAATGAACTTATTATTGTATGTATAATAATCAAATTGGCAGGTGTTTATATATTGATACAAAGTACACTCAGTCATACTTTAAAGTTTAACACTTACCAACAAGGCGACTGACAGCAACCCAGGATGAAAAAGTAATGATACAAAATTGGAGGGACACTTTGACTGTCAACCAAAGTGGACTCCACGCATTTGAAATATCGGTGGGTAAGTCCTGGATTATCAGGATGGACAAGATAGTCCCGAAGAATGCCTGAAATATGTTCTATTAGAAAATGTTAACAAAATTAGACTTCTTAAGAAATAAAAATTGTCTACCATTAACCATAGCATACTGCTATTTGATCCCAGTTAAGGACCACAACTTTATTATTTCCAATTGACTTCAACTTCTTAAGCTGTTATTTTAGCAGAATTTCACTACCCATGAAAATTGAGTTACTCTAGATCAAGGTTTAGAATTCAAGGCGTAGCTTGGTATCTCGCCCTATTCCATCTATTATATCAACAAGAGGCACACCTGGGAGCAATGACTTGAAGGAAATGAATGTCTGCCATCCATTGCTTCCTCTCCAGTGCAAATAACAGCAGAAACTGTGCTATTAACACAGTCCCCTACCAGCACCATAGACTCATTCAATTTGCATAGAGCCAAAAAGCTTGGTCTTAACTCTCCCGCCATACATTTCAGAGCATTAGTGAGGATGAGTGCAGCAGGTTTCCAAAGCAAGGTAAAGCATAAAGGAAACCGTCAGTAGGAGGGGAGGGGAGACGTGGCAAAATCAAGCAAAGCAGGGGTACCACCAAGCACATCAGCAAAAGTAACGGTCCACTTAGAGTTTCTGGCACAGATGGATAGTTCAATGAAGGATCATCCTTACAAAAGGGATGTATGTGTGTTGGGAACACACTGGTAAATTTCAAGAGAGTAGTGACAAAAAGTAGCAAACACAGCGTTATTCCTACTGTAGCTAGTTTGATGCCTCGATCACTAAGAGACATGATACCGAGCCTAACAAACGAAACTTTTAAAATGTATTTTTAACCTCCTACAATATTATATCGAAGTGGTACTTTTTGTCCGAATTTCGAAATCATGGGTTGAGTAAATTGTCATCATCCAACATTTCAGGGAATACAAGTAAAAAATTATCGGACTATCTTTACTGCGTATTGTATACGCAAATGGTACCGATACAATGCCTCACCAAAATAATGAAATCACCTCATTTTAAAAATGAGGTCACCTGAATTTGAAGGTACAATGCTACTTGCAATACTGTTATTTTTAAGGCGCACATCCACACTGATTTCCTGACTAATTTTATTGTATCCCAACTAAAGCTGCTTCTCGGGTGAACATATTAATTAGCAATTAGGTTTATTGTTTATTTACGTCATAATTTTACCCAATATTATATTATATTATAATTTATAGTTTAGGGCCTAATCAATTATCATTTCACAAAATAATCACAAAAACCACGTTTTATATGATAAGCTACAGGCTACAGCAGTAGCAAGGATACTTATGCAAGAACAAAACTTACGGTAGAAGAATGTCCTGAAGGAAATGACCACCTGAAGTCTGGCTTTCCTTTGTGTGTGCAAATAATTTTAGTTGTTTTCAAATCTACCCAAGATTCATTTTTACTCCGCAAATTAGCCACAATGGTCGCATTTGGTTCGCAACCAGCAATAAAGTGAGGACGCAAACCACCTCTAAAGACCTTAATGACATTCGTGAGAAGGTTAACAAGGATTCCTCCCATCAGAACAAGGTATACCGCAAGGAGAAATAGAGCTGTTTTATTTCTACCAATTTTATTTTTATGGAGAAGAAGCCATAAGATCATCAAACCAACTGCTACAACAGAGTTCACTACCACGTTAACAACACCACCGAATGTGTCTGGCAGGACTGGGTAACTTATGGTTCTATCGTCCAGATCAAAGGGTAGCATGGTTGTTGAGAAGCTGCCACCTTCGAGAAGCAGTGTGAGAAGAACAGCAAGAATGAGTAAAAGAACAGCAATTGCTCCAGAAATTAATTCTTTGCTTCTCTTTGACAAATCCATGTTCTAGGTAAATAATGAAGTATTAGTGCAGCCAAATAATGTAATGGTAGCACAGTAAAACCCTGATTTGCCATACCCTGATTTACCATAAAATGGTGATTTACTGGATACTTTCCCCCCAAAAAGTTAAGCCATTTTTCTGGAGTTAAAATGGTCCAGTGGCAACTTGGTCGTTTAGCTCCGGACAGTCTATGCAACGTCTATGCAACGTCCATGCAACAACAAAAGAACCGTCTATGCAACGTCTATGCAACGTCCCTGCAGGGACGTTGCTAAACCGGAGCTAAACGACCAACTTCCCGGTCCAGTATTTATAAAGTTATAAGGTCTGAAACATAAATGGCTGAAGTAAGTTGGTGTGAAAGATATTAAATTAAGGATTTTATTAACTGAAAATTAAATCCTGACTAGATAAGGCAGATACACCTAACAAGAAGATATCCAAGAAAAGTTGGCAGGTTTTCTTACAAAAGATTTGAAAACTGGATGATATCTCTGCATGAAACTCATCAGCCTATCAAAATAATATTCAAGATAATAAAGATGAAATTCCCTAAATTTTAAAATTTCTATTTAAAAATTATTATTACTATAGAACTCCAAATATACAAACAATCTGAATACTTTAATATACAATAAAAGATGATTAAAAACGTTTACTGCAGAACAGTGACTGATCATAAAAATTATGTATGAAAATACAATATAGTCATACCAAACTATCTGGGCACCAATCACCATACAAGTAGAGACAGTGAAATAAACAGACTGGAAAAAGATGGTCTAGTGCAATTCCACGGTAACATCCCACTTGGTGAAAATTAAAAATGTTAAGAGACACCTAAAATTTGTTCATTAGACTCTAAACCTTATAGGTCAACAAAAGTTTTTTTGTTTCATATTGTGTTAGCTTGTGATTTTTCTCATTCAAAGGAACACTACTCGGAAATGAAAAAAAATCATTCAATTTTTCAAAGGGTCATAGTTTGGGTATACTGCAATATTTATCTATGAAATTCCATACACTAAGGCATAGGCACAAGAATTAGAGCTATGCAAAGTTTCAAAACCGCTCCTCAAAAGCTAGCTGGTTGTCTAAAAAATTTCAACAACCACGGTGTTGCATCCGTCACAAAGCAAAAAAGTTTTTTCAGACTTTCCAACTACAAAACTTAACCACAAAACCAGCTCTGAGCACTATTTCTAGGTTCTGAAATGACTAAATGATGCGAATTATAAATCCTCAGAGCTCCCACTCTAAGACTCTACATTAAAAACACTTTCGACCTACAAAACTTAACTGCACAAAACAAGCTCTGAGCACTATTTCTAGGTTCTGAAATGACTAAATGATGCGAATTATAAATCCTCAGAGTTCCCACTCTACATTAAAAAAACTTTCCAGCTACAAAACTTAAGGGGGGGGGGGGGGCCAATGGATATTTTTTGTGAAACTTGATTTCGAGATAGCAGTTGACCAACAAACTAAGACCTGTGACCGAACTTTTGAGGGGGTCCCGGACCCCAACCGCCAAACGGTGCCCACGGGGCAGCCACGCCCATATTTGGTCCAAATTAGGCCCAATTTAGCCAAATACCCTGAACATGCCCAAAACCCAGATTTTAGGTGCTGTACTTGAAGCTAGTGGTCTCCTGAACTCGTATATAAAATTTCATCAAGATTGGACAAAAAATGACTGGGTTATGAGCCAAAAACCATATGCCCATATTTGGGCATACGCACCAAATTTGGTAGATTTCGTCCCATAAATTGGTCAAATATCAATATTTTTGAATGAAACTTACTTTATATGAAAGGTAAGCCTAAACTACATATTCTCTGTAAGTTACGTATAGCTTTATATCTGTTTAAATGTGGATACTAAGCCGAAAAGACCACAAAATTGAACTAAATTGCCCAAATCTTGGTTCGCTAATTATTTGACTAATTTATGGGACGAAATCTACCAAATTTGGTGCGTATGCCCAAATATGGGCATATGGTTTTTGGCTCATAACTCAGTCATTTTGTGTCCAATCTTGATGAACTTTTATATACGAGTTCAAGAGACCACTAGCTACAAGTACAGCACCTAAAATCTGGGTTTTGGGCATGTTCAGGGTATTTGGCTAAATTGGGCCTAATTTGGACCAAATATGGGCGTGGCTGCCCCGCGGGCACCGTTTGGCGGTTGGGGTCCGGGACCCCCTCAAAAGTTCGGTCACAGGTCTTAGTTTGTTGGTCAACTGCTATCTCGAAATCAAGTTTCACAAAAAAATACCCATGGCTCCCCCCTTAACAATGGACAAGGTGTGAACAGCAGAGTTACGATACCCAAAAACAGAAACATGATAACAGTGAACGAATTGTAAGAGGGTACGGCAGAAATGGTAAGTTTTATGGGAATCGGCTAGCGCGTTGCTAAGCAATATCAATGAATAGTGCAGAATACCAACATATATTAAAACCGACCGTTATATCATATTAAGATTACTGTTCATGAGGTATCCATTTCTGGATGAACCTGTTAATAATAATATTTCCTGTTCTCATTCGACACTCTCATATGACACGTGTCCCAGACAGGAAGAACACCGCTACCCCGCAAATGTGTCCGGGAGGTTTGTTGTTTAATAATATTATTTGATATATTATTATCGTTATATAACTTTAAGTAATAAACGTTGGAGACGAATGCAGGTTTACTATGCAGGTTCCCGTCTGTCCTTGAGGCCGTAGAGCAGACTGGTGTGACTGTGAGTACCGATAAAGGTGCCCACTCGAGCTCAGCTGGAGCACAGCTAGACATGATCATTCTGCGGAAAGTTATGGACGTCAGTTCGCCCAAACAATGAAGAAGGGGCTGGAAGAGTTTGAGACCGGTATTACTACAATTAGTAATACTAATTACAATTGGTAATTACAATTAGTAAACTAATTAGCACACTTTGAGTAATAGTCAATATGGGTTTGAAGTTGAAAATGTTCTAAGAAAGTTTCTACTTACTAGTACTGGGAATCTGGTAATCTGCTTTTTTTTATAACTGTGTGAAACTTATGTGCTGACTATATAAAATTTCTGGATTGACTATATTTTAATATAGAATTAGAACTGCTGCTCTTGGTACTGACAATAAAGAACTAAGACTTCTACAACTACTACTACTACTACTACATGTATGTAGACAAATCACATCGAGACAAATCAAACAAAAAGTTGAAATTTACAAAAATGAAATATGATCTTAATTCATAATCACAATTGAAATTCTTGATTTTGGAAATTATTCGCGTAACGTACCGAATAGTAAACTTCATTAATGTAGCTTCATTTGCATTTATATTCTCAGTTTCACCGGTAAACCCCTAGGTTTGCCAAGGTATAAGGTCGCAAGTGTAGTAAACTTGCTCTGAAGCAAACGGCAAACTTAAAATATATTAGACTAAGAATAAGTATGTCACTCCTCTATCATCACTTACAATATTTCAATTTGCGATAATAATCAATTAATCGACTAAAATAGCGAGTGGATAACATTTAACTAAAATCGGCAATGTATTCTAAATCTAACGATTTGACTGAAAATCAAATGTCACACATTTCTCCACTAAAGATAACCTGACTCATAGTCATTAATTCGATCGATCCACGATTGCTGATTTTGTCATGCCATAGGTTTTGTCATTGTCATCATTAGCGATACCTGCTCCGGAAGGAGTACCTCCGGGGGAGCTTCTGTAGTAGAAGCTCGGTAGTAGAGGAGACCAGCTACTAGGACTACTATGAGGAGGCCGCAGATACCGGGGATTACTATCTCCGCTACGTCGCGGTGAGGGCCTGTTGCTGCTGCTACATGGTCAACTCTGAAGAGTGGGGAGAGATCTGACTAACAGTTCAAATAATTTAGGGATGTTTACAAAAAACATTTTTTGCCGGTCAAACTAAAAAAAGAACAAGTACATATATATTAATTTCACTTACCCTCCACTGAGAGCCTTGCTAACCCCCACCACAAACTCAATTTTCTTAACCTTACCATCCAGTGCTGCAACAACAGCCTCACTTGACGGCTGCACAGTCACACTGTCATCAGGGGTGTCACATGGGGAGATCCAGACTGATACTTTAGTGTCGGAGGCATCTGAGTTTGTTATACCCACACCTGATAGTGATAGTCTGTCTCTGGTGGGACCCGGACAGTGTTAGCGGTGTGGTGATTTGTGGCACTTGGTATAAGAAAGTAAATAAAGTAAATAAGGCGACATTTTTAAACAATTTTCGGTGATTTTGTTTCTGACATTTTCAATGAAATACCTTGAGATTTTGGTGATTTGAACAATTTCCTCTTTTAGACCGTTCGCTTGGCGAAATTCTCAAATTTTACTTAGTCAACATCTGCTGCCCGGAACTTAAACTCGATCATCGTATTCAATACTGCCAATAGGGGCTGAGGTTACTGGGCGGCGCTCAGCCTGTCATTCCGCCGAATCTTTATTATTTATGTTTATGGACATAATAGCCTGGGGTCCCCAGGTAAGGGCTGAGGATGAGATGAAAGTCAGTTATACATGCGAGTGTAACAACAAGCATACAAAACCAAGCATAAAGTCTACACAATCAAGTTGACGTATCTTTACATCAATTATGCATGATAAAGGATCATATTGTGAGACTTACGGGTGAGGGTGACAGCAAAGATAGGCTGGGACGGAGTCCCGAGACCCTTGTCGTTTTTACCGGTAACAGTGATACCGTACAGGGTGGATGGAGACACAGTGTCTCCTATTGTGATGGACGTTGTGTCTGTTGTCATGCAGCACGTGTTCTGTTCCAATCCTTACTTTTCCGTCGTACTTTCCGTACTGAAACAGTCGGGTTAAAGTGAGGATTACCGGCATTAAGTGGAGAAGTTCATCCGCCTTTTTCATTTTTGTGTTATTGAGAAATGAGGATTAAGAAAATAAACATAGTGGTGCTGATTTTGGCAAATGGCCAGACGCTATCTGCAAATAGGAAGGGGTATATTCTAGTTCGTTCTATTATTGTTGTTATCGAAAAACCCATCTTTATGGATTATGGCACTAATTATCAGGGCACCCCATGACTACAATTTGCCCATACCTGGCAACCTCCAATCCGATTATCCAATTCGAGGACAAAATAAGAAATACATGAACCAGATTTTATTGCACTGTTTTGAAAAAGAAGACAGAGTTGAAAAACAGGTTTCGATACGCACTTAATTGAATTTCTCAATAAATGTTGGCCATGCAAATTGCAAAGCCGCAGCCTATTTTCTAAACAAGACTCATCTAACATAGTTAGAGGGAATGTTTGCCCTCAACTCATTGTTGAACACAATCTCACGTGCAAGAGTGAGACTATGCTGAGTAGGTGAAACGCGGGTACTGGGACGGTAGCCGTGGTGTGTGTGGGCGGCAGACAGGATGACGTCATCAAAGAACTGAAGTAGATAAGAAGTAGATAAGAAACTTACCCTGACTTCATATTGGATGGCGGTGTTAGTGTCAATAGGGGGTCTCCACATGATTTCGAGAGAGGCAATATGACGCTCTTTCACATATGTACAACACTGTTACACTTACAGGGCCTGGTGCAAGTGGGATAAACAATTAGTGGTTAGATTATGTTTCAGGATTTATAGATTGTTGGCTTATTGACAATTTTCTCTCATATCCTGATAAAAATTGTTTATTTTATATTTCTGTCATGGCGTGTGCTGTAGATTTGAGCACAAGCCAGAATAAAGGGAAATTGTTATAACTGACCTAGATTCGACGGTACAAGCAGTGTAGGATTGTGTGGAGATGTACTTGGGTCATTGTACTGCAACTGAGAACTTGTACGCCTTGAACTTGGGCAGCTGAAAATTATTATATTTAGTTGAAAGTTCAATGACAAAACAGTGTGATACAAAATTTTATGGCAATTCCATTGTTTAGACGAAAATTTTAATCAAGAAATAAAAAATTTGGTTTAATTACCTAACCGGGATATAGGTTTACATTTAATTTCCAGGAATGAACTAGATGAATTTCTGAATTGTGTACACTGTACAGTTCTTGTCACCTTCCTTTTTTAGATAAAGGTTAACCTTCGATTTAAATGGCGATTGATATCATTGTGTATTATTCACGAAACACAAACTGAAATTCAAGCATTGTATGAATTTCGGTTTTTGTTTCTTGAATTGTAGAAAATAATTCAAAGAATGCACCTTTTCTTTTTTTCTGAAAATGAATATTGATAGTATAGTACATTTTAAAATATTAAAACCTTATTCTTGTTTCTTTATGTTTTACATCTAAAGTATTTCTTATCTTTAAAAACCTCAAGGCGAACGTAATTTTTCCGTAAAAAAGTAAGAAAAATGTAATCAGACAGAAGCTGTGAATGTATAGTTATGGTTGATAACATCTTACTGATAACAATTCTAAAAACAGTTGCCAAGTATTTTTCAAGATTTATCTTTGCGGTCATATCAACGTTTCTGGCAGGAGACCAGAGGTTTGGTTTATGGGATCCGCATCCAACTTATTTAGACACTGAGCCCAGCCATAGCCATAACTAGCCATGACCTTACGGAACTAGTCTGAAGATACTCGTTTTCTAAACTTGCAGAATATTGTGACAGGAAATAGGAATCAGGGTACAAACATACCGGTTTAGCAAGTTTTCACTTTTCATAATCCGGAAATTATGATCAGAATGTTTAGGCTTCTTCAGATATATATTTCTGCAGGTAATTTGAAAATAACCTCATCGGGACAAATTTACGAATAATAAGCCCCCATGTACCCCATATCTTAGGTATGTGGGAAGGGAGAGAGAGAGGGAGGGAGCATGTTTTTTATCATGCGAGGGAGGGAGGGAGGGATCAGGGAGGGAGGGAGGGAGGGAGGGAGGGAGGGAGGGAAGGAGGGAGGGAGGGAGGGAGGGAGGGAGGGAGGGAGGGAGGGAGGGAGGGAGGGAGGGAGGGAGGGAGGGAGGGAGGGAGGGAGGGAGGGAGGGAGGGAGGGAGGGAGGGAGGGAGGGAGGGAGGGAGGGAGGGAGGGAGGGAAGGAGGGAGGGAGGGAGGGAGGGAGGGAGGGAGGGAGGGAGGGAGGGAGGGAGGGAGGGAGGGAGGGAGGGAGGGAGGGAGGGAGGGAGGGGGGGGAGGGAGGGAGGGAGGGAGAATCATGGTTTAGTTTGGGATAAGAAATGGCGGTTTTCGGAAAAATTTCCATATTTTCGTCCCGAAATCAGGTCACCAGAATGTCTCGTAAGGTAGTTAGTTAAATTATGATATAGTGAAGGAACGGGTATATGCCTCATAGAATGGCTAGCCTCACAGAATGGCCAAATTTGTAAATGTTTTTGTAACTAATTTTTTTTATAAGACTGGTAGGTTTTGTGGATACCATATGAAACAAAAGTCTTCTGGCAACACTTCCTGTGGTGAAATTATTAACTAGGACCATATTTTCTGACATAAATATGACTGTTTATGTAGAAATTTTGAGCACTGAAAATTTGTTTTCAAATTTTTGAACTAAGCTTGCATTTTGGTGAGAACTTCTGGCACCAGTATGACGGAAGATGTCTAAAGAATAGTATTCATCAAACAAAACGAACATTGTTCAATATAGGAAGAAAAAAATGCTAAAATGGCTACACGCCTCACAAAATGGCCAAAATATGCCTCACAAAATTTGTTTTCAAATTTTTGAACTAAGTTTGCATTTTGATGAGAACTTCTGGCACCAGTATGACAGAAGATGTTTAAAGAATAGTATTCATCAAAAAAAACGAACATTGTTCAATATAGGAAGAAAAAAACGCTAAAATGGCTACACGCCTCACAAAACGGCCAAAATATGCCTCACAAAATGGCCAAAATTTAAAACTCCTTTTATTGATGCAGACATGTTAGTTTTGATGGTCTAAAGTATTCACAAGCTATTTATTATACAATAACACCCCAGATGGAGTGTTTTTACAGCCGAATGAAGGTTATAAATCATGAAATCAGGGAATATGAACAAAATGGCCATTTTTGGTGTAGGAAATTATGCCCTTTTTATTCAGTTCTAAGAAATTTCACCTATATAGGGGTGTTAACAAGGCATATTTATACCAGCAGCATGCCTGAAACAAGAGCCAAAGGTTTTAGAAAAATAAAATTTTCTCGTTTTCATTTTTTTTGGACATTTTGTGAGGCTTTTTTTTGTTTGTGAAATAATTTTTCACAGCTCAGTTTTTTCGTGAGTTTTAGGTTATTACCCCATTCCTTAATAGGTTTTCTAACAACGTGTGGTGATAGAAATTTAAAAAGTATCTCCATCAACAAATTATAGAAATTCAGATTTGGCCATTCTGTGAGGCATGTTTTTTTGGAGGAAGATTTTCCGGCCAATATTTCTCAAAGAAAAAATGGTTATGAGATTAAATCAACCCCCGGGAAGAAAAATATGAGTGTCAACTTAGCTTCTTATGAGAAAAAAACTGGAATAAAGTGTGTTTTGTGATTTTGAGAGACCTTTCTTTTTTTGGCCATTCTGTGAGGCATATACCCGTAGTGAAATTATGTAAAGAGACCTGAAGTGCCGGTGGTTTCAAAATAAAAAATCTCTTATCTTTGATGGGCTGTGATTATGTAGCAATGCCAATGAATGCTGAAATAATGATCATATTTGAATTTTGATACATACCAACAACACACGCGTTTTTAATAGTTGAATAGTATCGTATCAAACTTAAATTTTATTTCATTAACAATTTGTGATTTCATTTTTAAATTTATCCAGGGGTTCGACAGTCAATTTCAGCATCAACAATAAACACCGAAAGACCTAAATTGTCTACCTTAATCGGACATAATTGTCACGGACAATTTTTCACGCTCATGTATGGCGGCCGAGATGGCTCAACAAAATTTTCACTGAAATTTTGAATTAAAAAATTAATTATACAATTTAATTAATCACAAAATAAAAACGATTTTGAATTTGATTTGTAAAATGATTTTTAAATTTAAATAAAAAACGATTTTCGATATTGAAATTGAAAACGATTCTCATTTTGAAAACGATTTTGAGTTTGATTTTGATTTCAATTTTGATTTTGATTTTGAAAACGATATTGATTTTGATTTTGAAAACGATATTGATTTTGATTTTTAAAACGATATTGGTTTTGATTTTTAAAACGATATTGATTTTGATTTTTAAAACGATATTGATTTTGATTTTGAAATTTGAAAACAATATTGACTTTGATTTCGAAAACGATATTGATTTTGATTTTGAAAACCATTTTGATTTTGATTTTGAAAACCATTTTGATTTTGAAAATGATTTTTTTTTGCCCGTGGCGGCCGAGATGGCTCACCGGCCGAAATGGCCCAGCTAGCTAATTAGCTGTATCGGATTTATGTTCCGGGGTATTTGGAACAGGTTTAGGGGTTTAAATAGTTAGTACCTGTCCCAAACCATCAGAAAAATAAAGTTTCGACCTCCCAACCACCAACCCACTCAGGCCACTCCCAGGGGCCAGGCCCATCCCAAAATAGCTGAAATCCAGGTCAAATCCCATACAAATCCAGACAGAGAATCTTTAACCCTGTATGAGATTTATGTTCCCGGGTAGCACAAGTATTGGTGGTTAAGAGTAGAAGGGGATTACCCTTTATGACTCACTAATTTCTAGAGGGGATTTCTATAGAGGGAGTACAGTTTATGACTCACTAATTTCTAGAAGAGATTTCAAGAGAGTGAGTACAGTTTATGAGTCACTAATTTCTAGATGAGATTTCTAAAAGGGATTTCTAGAGGAGAGGTTACTAGCTATAACTCACCATTTTATAACTCACTCTTAAAATTTCTCCTTCCAATTAATATTGAAAAAATTTAATACAAAGCTGGTCAACGATGGAATCTCATCGTTTTGTTCAAAAACTACGAGTTAGTGTTTGAGTTTATCACAACAAAGACAGCTATATTAAGTCTGTTAATTACTGAGGGAGCAAAGCCCTCCCCATTCCCACCCCAGGCAATAAATCTAATCAAACACAACTCGTTCCTTTGTATTAGACATTCCATTAACTTGTTAATTGCTGTAAGACTGTAGGAGGCAAACCTATCCTCATTCCTCAACAAACACAGCTATGTTTTCTAATCAAACACACTTAACTCCCTTGTTATGTTGAACCGTCGTCTGCTATTTCACTCTTGCAATCTATGATAGTGTTCGAAAAAA